GTAAACTTGACTGATAAGTAAACTGAAAAAAAAATTTCAAATGCCTTATTGAAATGCTATTTAAAAAAGCTTATGAAATAAACTCGAACTTTTTTTTAAAAAAAAAAAAAAATTGTCTTTCCAAACTAAATTTATTTATATCCAGAAAAGTGATAAACTAACTAAATAAGATATAACTTAATTATCAAACACTCGTAAGTCTTAATCACAATAATTAACCATCAATTTGGCGTTCCTAAAAGCGAAAACATACCTCGCCACGCGAATTTTTGGTTCATTATTTTAAAATTTCTACTTATCCCTTCTATATATAATTCTCGAATGTGCTGAGCCTATGCGGTTGCTTCTGAAGCTTCGAAATCTTACTTGACAAAGAATCATGCTTAGTATAATAAATATTTAACTTTTCAACCACTTTTTATCATTAGTTTTAAATTTTAAGAAAAAAAATTAGCTAGCATCCCGTGTATTACACATATATTGTACCAGTAATATATATTCCCTATTAGAATTATTTATTTCCATTCATCGTTTCAACCTTTGGAAAAAGATTTGCTGGAATTTACAATTCCAACAAAAAAAAACTCCAATAAAATATGTTAATTTGACAATTAGTGATTGTTGTAGTGGATATAACATGTAATATTAAATTGCAATGAAGAATCCACATGAACACCCAAGATTTAAGGCCATTAAATTTCCAGCGTAGTTCATACATACATACATACATGTCTCCAACAACTGTTATTCAAAGAGATTTGCATGATTACGAAAATGACTTGAAAAGACGGGTTGTTATTACAATAGGGATAACAAACAAATGAAGTGGAGAAAAACAATTAAACAAACGACTAACAATTGGTACTTAGTGCATTAAATATACCATTCCATGATAGTCAAGATTATTATATTTTTTTTCTATTAATTTTGACTTCTGAGTTTTTGTATTTCCAACTTGTATTCAATGAACATAATTTTATGTTTTTCTCGAAAGATTTAGATCAATGACAGATACCTGGAAATAATAATTAGATATAGTTTGAAAAAAACAAATGTTTTTTTAAATAAATATTGCAATTCTATAAATTACATACTATAAATTAAAAGTGCATAATTATATAAAACTCTTGAGGGAAAGCTTTACCGCCCTTGTGGTCCTACTCGGCTCAATTCCGGATTAGTCGGTTCCACTGTGGATCCGGAAACCGGAAGGTCCCTGTAAAAAAAAAAAAGTGCATAATTATATAAATATATGTGCGTGTGTGTGAGAGAGAGAGTGGGGGTGAGTTTGTATCTAGTGGTTGACCAATAAGAGAGTTCCAAGAAGCAAGAGTGACAACATTTAATTATGTTCATTCATACATTAAAGCTAAATCGATTTAACAAGGCACGGCTATCAAGTCGACTTAAACAATCATAGGTCGACTCGTGGGTAATAATTCAATCGACATAGGTCGACCCGCGAGCGATAATTACGACGAATTAAAATCCTAAGTCGACTTGCAGAAAACATAAAATTAAAGCAAAAGATGTGTATTTAAGATCTAGAGTTCGAACTGCCAGAAGAGCATGAAGAATTCCACATGATGAAATCCAATATTAGAAAACTCAGAAAAGCATAAAATAACTGCAAAAAAAATAAGGATATCGAGAACTTACACATGGTGATTTGCAAAAACTGTTGAGAAATCTGAAAATTTGTTGGAAAATATGAAGAACACCGGAGAAGCCGAAAGTGCCGAGATTGCAGAGAACTTGAGCGATTTTAAGAATAAAAAGTTGCGAAAAGTGAACTGAATGAATAGAGAGGAGCTTTTACAGCAAGGGTGGTGAGTTGTAGACCCTTGGATGATGAGAAGATCCGGTGGAAGAGTTTAAGTGTAGAATTCGAGAGGTGGAATTTAAAGCGACGCAGCGCCTCAAAATTCAATTTTTAAAATTTAAAATTTGAAAGTTGTCAGAATGTCAGGGGACGTCAAAAACACATCCATAAAAAATCTCAAGTTCAGGACCATATTATGGGCAATTCGACCCGGTAACGATGTTAGCAAGACGACTCAAGTACGAATGGCTAGAATAAACAGGAGCTATAGAGGCCAAAAATAAAAACGAAGACCTTGAGAAAAGCTCGACATCATGCATGAAAAATTAGTGGGTCCCAGGATAATGGAAACAAGCAAGATCCGACGAATATTTAGGCGCCAAATTCTCTTAAACTTGAAGTCACGCGCTTTGAGTAATTTNNNNGGGGGGGGGACTAAATGATATAGCCATACTCGGGCAGATCGATTATAATGGCTCGACCGGGTATTAAGACGAGTCGTCTACATGTCGACTGGAATAAGGCATAAGGACCTGTCGAGTCGAGTCGTGGAAACAG